AAACTGTAAGTCCGATTGCTTTGATATTATATATATAGGTACTACATGTGGACCTTTCTCAGATTTGTTCATTTCCTGATGATATCTTCAATTCTCTAATTTTGGTGAATATTTTTGTCATTTTTGGTAGAAAGTGATATTTTCGACTTCTGTTAAAACTGCAAGTCCGATTGCTTTGATACTATACATATTGTTCATTTTCTAATGATGTCTTCTGTTCTTTAATTGAAATGTGCATCGCTAACAGCGGAGCTATCTCAGCCGACAGGCTGCTTGTTTACATATTTAAATATATCTTACAAGGATGAAAAAAATTAAAAAATGGGATCACCAATTGATGTGCAAAATGGAATGAAAATGGCATGTTTTGTGTCTTTTTAGAGCATTTTACCATAGTTTCCTACAACTAGGATACATTTAGTTTTGGTGACACTTGTTGAAAAAGTCTAGAAGTTTAACAAATGATTTTTAACAATTTATTTTTAGCAAGTTTTTAACGAGAAATACTTTCATTGTTGTCCATGGCAACTGTTGCTAAAATGACATTTTATGGATATTTACCTTTTTTCTCAGAAAAACATTGACAGGAAATTAAAAAAGTTCACATACTAATATAAAAATGTTTAATTGAATGCATGAAGCAATTTTGTTCAAACTCAAAGTACAAATTATTGGTAAATACATTTTTAGCTCCTCTGCCATCTTTGCTTGTCAGGAAATGAACAAAATTGAGAGAGGTTCACTTAAGGTATCTATATATCAAATATCAAAGCAATCAGACTTGCAGTTGTCAAGAAGTAGAAAATACAATTTATCATAACAATTACTATTTAAAGATGTCTGATATTATGATGTGACTGTAATGTAATACCAATGTGTGAATTGGAACTCAGAATGCTGACAAATGGAAATTATCTAGTACAGATATAATTAAAAAAAAGCATGTTGGAAACAGACATCATGATTAGGCTGTAGGCGGAAAACAAAAGAATTGATTAAGGTCTCTGACAAACATGAAAACAGGAGAATAAGACTTGATGGTATAGAGGGCGCTAGTTGGAATAATTTTACTCTTAAACCCCAGACGATAGGAGGTAGAGCCCATGCTTCAACATATCTTCTATATATCACTTTTATCAGTCCAAGCAGCGTGTATTAATTTATATACTACTTTTACAATGCTTCAACATAAGTCACTCCTGTTAGTGCTTTGCACACCTTGAATTTCATTTCCCAATAAAAATACATATATTTTACCTGTAACATTACTTACCTATCATTTCAGGTTTAAACATAGCTACATAATCATGGCCATCAATGCTACCATTATTCAGTATTCAAGCAAAATTACGTTAATAAATACCTTTACCAAAGGCGTAAAGACAAAGGCAACAAACAAAAAATTCAAATGCAGTGTGCACATGTTTTGTAGATCTCGGAAAGATATTCAACAGTGTCTGGTATAGTGGAATATCACAGGAAAAATTTACAACATATTATGAACATGTACATGTTAAACTGATTTTCTGTTGACATCCTCTAATTTAAGTCCATATGTAATCAACTTATTCATAAACGACCATTATTTTGCCCATAATATAACAAAAATAGTTTAGAGGATTACTTGACAAACATTACAAATATTTTGTTGTAATTTTATCTGTAACTTTAAGTTTGTTCCGGTAGATTGGGACTTTATGTCATTTTTGATACAGAAACAGGTCATATGATACAATGCAATTGTAATATCAGCAATCATCACTAGATTATCACAGGCAATGTTCGCAAATAGAACTTCAAGCTCATTCAAGAATATGTTGAAAAATTATGGTATACCTTCCCATAGTTGAAGAACATGTCAATATTACATGTCTGTTTGATACCGCAGGTTGAATAAAACAAGTTAGTTATACCAAGTTATACCATTACTTAAATTTATCTGACAATGTTAGGAGCATTTGTGGTTTTGATGATTCCATGAAGGTTACCATTAATACAATTTTCAAATTTATTGCACGACAACACTCAATGGAAAGTGCAGTATAACCAAAATAACTGCAACTGAGTTTTTGCTATAAAAATAATTAAAGATATTTGTTATCTAATTTAAAAAAACAAAGTGTTGCATTTTGCTTATTAGCATCATCACATAATATAATTCTCTCAGTACATGTATAATAATATTAGGACACTGAATAAAAATGGTCATGCATGACAACAATACATAGCTCCAAACTCGTTCATAACACTGACTGAATTGAGCAATGCAATCTGCCGCGTACGACCGCCCTCTATAGCTCACTGCGTGCAACCCGGGTATTTCAAACAATCGATCAGCTGCAGGACCAAGAACGAAGATTTCGGTTAGTACCGTATTCTATGGGTTGGATAAGATATAAATAGTCTTTTTCTTTAATCATCCTGTTGTTCGTCAGTGGGAGAGGTCGTCAGATCGGGCACTGCATCACCCGGCAGTTTCGCTGAAGAAATTGATCGAGGTGTGTAATACTAATATTTTGGATTGAATTAAGGGGCGTGTCTGTTTAGTTCTTTTCTTCATGATCATTGTCATGGACACTTAAGTTTGATGATGATAGTGACAGACCAATCAAACTCAAATAGGACGGACTGGAAACGATGTAATGTTCACAGGCCACTCAGCGCTGATGAAGACAAAATGCATGATCCATATTCAGACACACCCCTTAGATAGACAACATCAAATGATTTTAGAAATTATGTAAATGACCCTCAAAAATGGGCATAACAGAGACTGTCCAAAACACACTAAAAAGAAACTACTAGTGAGAATGATGTCACGAGGATATGTGAGGCAGAACATGCCTTGTACAACACATTTCCTTAACTTGTGAATTCTAAACAAACAGTGGGAGTCCAATCTTCAAAGTTACCGTAATAGTAGAAACCTGATATATATAAAGTATTAAATAAATAAATTCAAAAATGATAACAACATTTAACTGGAAAAAAATTCAAAAAGATGCTCCCCCTTTTTATGGTATCCATTAATGTATGGCAACCATCTCACTCATGGGCAAATCTCTATAAATCAAACTTAGTGAATGTAGATTCTACTGTCAAAACCTTGCTTGAAGATCATGGTCTAGGGCTAAGCAGTTCTCCATCCCTGGCATGATGTGCCTATATGTACTCTTTTCTCCCTGAGAAGGAACATCGTCTTGGTTTATTTTATAATTTCTCTTCCCATGTAGCGTAGGTATGGCAACTTTCAGGCTTGTCCCGCTTGCCCCTCTCCTTAAATTTCACTAGAAAGCCTGCCCAAAGCAAGCAAGGACTGTTCAAGACCACATGGAAATAAAGGCATTTTTCTATGGTTTAAATGTTTTTTTTTGTAGGCAGTGATTGGCTGGTTAGACAGAGATCAAGACAGTGATTGGTTGATTAGACAGAGACCAAGGCAGTGATTGGCTG